ACACACACACACACACACACACACACACACACACACACACACACACACACACACACGCTCTCTAATTGAAACACGCCCCTCTCTCTCCTCTGGGACCTCTTATTGTTAGTGTCATTATCTCGGTGTCATCTGATTGGCTGCGGATGTTTATCAGTCGTCGGAACCACGCCCACTCATCATTGGCTTGGACGGGCCCCGCCCCCCTATGGTCCTGTCAGACTGAACTGTGGGAAAAACCCAGAGCGTCGACTCACACACCTGTCCCACCCCCTCTGACGTCATAAACACCTGGGACACGATTTTATCATGTTAAAATTAAGTTATTTAAATAAAGTTATTTAATTTAATTTTAATAACTAAATAACACACACACACACACACACTGTTTACCCTGACCAGGTTTTGATGAACTTTCAGGAAACAGTAACAACAACAACAACAACAACAACAGTAACCTTCAATAAAAACATTTATTTTACAAATCAAACTTAGCTTCATTCAAACAAATGAAACAGGACACTTTAATGTGTTCAGTAATACAAACATAGACAATACACAACACCAGAGAGAACATGTTACTCAACGTTCAACAGCCTGAGACAAGAGCCCCTCCCCCGATACAGAGGATCGCAGGTGCCAATCACATTCCATCTGTATTCTGACATTGCTGAATTAAACTGCGTGATTTCACAATAAAAGCCCATCACTGCTCTTACTGTAAAGGCTTTTTTGATGAAGGAGACACAGGTGTAACAGCTTCACAAGTTTAATGACGTCAGAGTCCGAATATCTGAGACGCACCTGAACGCAGCACGACACAAAGATATTTTTCAATTTTCAATTTCAACAATGAAAGAAAATTAGCTACGATGACAAACCACAGGTTTTTATAGAAGAATAAAAATAAAATCACCAATGTTTCTTTAACATTAAAGAAACTTCATGTGGTTACTGACGATTCTGTTTCAACACAGAACTTTATATCAACACTCTGACAGAGTGAACACACACACATACACAGTCGTGTTCTGGATTTAAACGAGTTCCAGCTGTGAGCCAACATGGCGGATCAGGACCTCCCAGTGTGTATGGACCTGATCAGCTGAAGGTGAAGGTCTGGACCCAGATCTTCCGTCAGAGTCTCCCTCCACCAAACTCTCACAGCTGGAGAGTGGCGACAGTGCCCCCTGCAGCCTATCTACCTCTAGCTCCAGGCTCTCCGCTCGACCCCGGGGGACCTTCCCCAGGTTCTGCTCCGTCAGCAGCCTGCCCAGGAAGTTGATGTACCGGAGGGCGAGGCGCAGGGTCTCGTTCTTGCTAAGCTTTCTGTCGGGGGGGTGGGTGGGGATGAGCCGACGCAGCTCGGCAAATGCTCCGTTAACGTTCTGCTGCCGGCAACGTTCCCGACTGTTGGTGAAGAACCGCTGGACAACCAGAGAACCAGAACCTGAGGAGAGGTCAGCTGGAGTTAACACGATGATCAAGAGCAATCAGCTGATCGATGATTAACGATCAGTGAGTTGACTCATAATTTAACAACAGAATAATAAACTATATATATACACACAACTGTTTTGTCCCTCTGCAGCCTCCGTACTCTGGATTTTACCTGTTGTCTCATTGTTCATCTCAACACACGGAGAAACTGTCAAAGTCTTCATGACCTGGAAAACACACACACACACACACACACACACACACACACACACACACACACACACACACACACACACACAGAGGCATGTGAGTATTTGTCGTCATCAATTTAAACCTGATCATTAGTCTCTGAAAATGACCTCAGACCCTGTGACCTGTGAAATGAAATCTTACCCGTGATGCAGGTGCAGGACTCTTGGCTCAGCGGCTCCTCAGCAGCAGGTTGTAGGTTCAGTGTCTGAGCTTCAGTGTCTCCTCAGCCTTTTATACCCACCTGCCCCCGCCCCCTGTGCGTCGTGACATGTGGTTTCCATGGAGATGTCATTAATAGCGACAGCCCCATTAAACAGAGAGCAGGGCCCAGGAAGCAGCAGCACCCAGGGGACACCCCCCCCCAATATATGTATATGTATATAAAATGAGGAGTCCTGATCTGAACCAGTTCCAGTGTGAAGGGGCTCAGAAAGCTGTGACGTGACTTGAGTTTCTCAGTAAAGACACAAGGAGTTTAGTTTTAAACTTGATGAAAACATCTGTTGTTGACATCAGATCTGATCACAGGTAATAAGTCAGGTCAAATAAAAAGATCAAAGCACGCCGCCTCTTTGAAACGTAAATAAAAGTTTCAGCGATTCGATTATAAAGTTGATTTAAAGCTTCTCTTTATTTCCTTTTCTCTTCTTTGGACTTATTCTTACAGTTTTTAGCAGCTCAGTCAGTAACTTACTGCTCCTGTGTGTGTGTGTCTGTGTGTGTGTGTGTCTTTGTGTGTGTGTGTCTGTCTGTGTGTGTGT